CCTGTCATATTCTGGCATATATACATTTAATTACGTATATTAAATGTTTTGTTGGTTGTGCTTGGGCACTGTCTACACCACAAATGTAATATGTATGGACGCTTTCTTCTGTCACAATATAACATAACTTATATTTTACAACTAGAGGCACCTATACCTCACTGGATTGTGAAGAACAGCCATGGTCTTGAGTGGGGAGAAAAGGTAAACACTGCATTCACTTTATTTTTCTTCTCTGGCTATGGGTTTTTTTTACATTTACATCCATCCAATCAAAACACATGTCTCAGTCTTCTTTATCCCTGGATGTCCCTTTCCCCACACTCTTTCATGGGAATGTATCTTTCATGGGAAGGGGGCTATATAATGCACCCCAACCCTATCTCAGTGTACAAAATAGAGCAGTCTAGAGTACCTAACATACAGGAGAGTTCACAGTGCAGCATTACCAGTAGGTAATGTAAAGAATGGCATACTGGCTGGAGCAGAGTAGAGCACACAGTGCGGGTGGAGCAGTCAGGAATATATAATGTACAGCACATTATACAGAGTAGAGGAGTCAGAAATATGCAACATACAGTATACACATTGAAGCAGTCAGCAGTAGATACTAAACAGTACAGCATACGGTGGAGTGTTCAGGATTATGAATGTAAAGTAAAAAGCCCAAAGTGGAGTAGTTAGGAGTATGTAATGTACACCACAGTTCACAGTAGACTGGGGTATGTAGCATACAGTAAAACGCACAGAGTGGGGCAGTAACGAGTATAAGAGAGCTTCAGTTGGTTTCTGCCGCGCTTTTCTTGATTGCATGTGTTCATGTGTACGCCAAGTGCGTTGTGAACTTCATTCTTCACAAGCTTTATAGATACAGAATAGGGTCTTGTTTTAATGGTAAAGGGTGCAATGTTCTGGCCCCTGCAGACTTTTCCTCCCATCGCTGTCCATACCGAGGAGGAATTGTCTATGAACTACAAGTGCAGTGATGTTACTGCACTTGTACTTCGTTGAAAACTACAAGTCCCTCTGCTTTGGTGGATCTGTGAATGCATGATGCAGACGTGTGGGCAGAGATTTAAAAAAAATAAATAGCAGAAGCCTGCAAGGAGAAGAACTCCCTGATTCAGGTAAGTGGAGATGAGCAGGATGGGGGGGTTTGGTGAGGTGACCATGTTTAATGAATATGGTGAATATGACTGTTCCATGAAACAAGGTAGATATGGTAAACATTAAGTGACATGAAACTTAGGAGTTAAACCTTAAAAAATGCATTTAAGTACCCTATTAACAAAAATGTACGTTATTTTTGTATCACTCAGCTGTAAATCCTCAAATCATCTCTGAATTGGTGCTGACATTGTCCTTCCTTCTGGAGCGTGGCTACGTTTGTTCTCCATGGTCCCTGTGTGTGTTGTAACGTAGCCACCACTCCAAGCTCGCTCCCATGATGACGGTGTCTGCACGCGGGTGCACGCGTCTAGATGCTTTGCGGCCACCCCAGCAGTTTTGGATTCTCGGACGGGAGCGCGCGGCGAAGACGGGGTTTTTGGGGTTATTTACTGCTTGCTAGCAGTAGATATATGCAATATAAACCCGTTAAGAGTTACTCGCTACCAGTTGCCCCACCTAGCCCCTACCCTGCCCCGACCTTAACTCCGCCCCTAAACACACCCTCTTAAATGATCTTATGATAGTTGCTTGTAAATGACAGATTAGGGATTCCTGCTGCAGGAAAGCGCAAGTTCCTAACACAGGAATCCCTAATCGCACCTAAAATAATGGTGTGAATAGTGCCTAATATATATACAGTAATACCTTGGTTTAAGAGCATAATTAGTTCCGGAAGCATGCTTGTAATCCAAAGCGCTTGTATATGAAAACGAATTTCCCCATAGGAAATAATGGAAATTCAGATGAAAGAATCTCAGTGCCAGGAGGAGCAGCTCTGCGGTCTGCATCTGACAGAAATGCAGACCGTGGAGCTGCTTCCGCAAGTCAGGTACGTGGTCTGCGACAGTGTGCCTGACTTGTCAGCGGGCTGCGGGCCACATAGTACTGGCTTAGGGCCGGTACTTTGAGACCCCAATTTCCACTCGCCTTCACTGTATTTGCATTCGCCAAATGCGAGCAGGTGAGTGGAAATGTTGAGCCCTGGTGTAAACAAAATGTCAAAGTTAACAGTACCCAAAACAGATACTGTTCTTTTTCATTGTTAAGCAAAGTAGATTAAATTTGACAAATAGTGAGCATGACTCATCATACTATCTTTAATTGGTTATAACATATTTTTGTATTATATTTCTTTCAATGTATAACATGTTAATTCTTCAATTCACAGGGCTATTTCAGAGTTTTGCTTGGAAAAAATATGTGTGGAATCACAAAATATCCGTTAGCTGCTACTGTGAAAAAACTTGCCTGTACTTCATAGGTGCACCATAATTGTATGCTTACATTTCTGTGTATACATTTATATACTATACCAGTAAAGAAAATCTGTGATGATATGTTATTTTGGTTCTGAAAAAAGGTGTGTCATTTCTTCATTTGGCAGAAGTGCTAACTTCTTCAAGAAATGTGTGACTTCCTTTCCAAATATCATAGTAATATTATTCACTTTCTGATCTCTGGACAATCTCATGCAAAAAAAAAAGAAAAGAATAAAAGAAAGAAAACAATTAATGAAACAAAAAAATGCTTGTTTTGTATAATAACTTAATGAATGAACTGTATGTATGGAAATGCCCTTAATTCTGGCAAAATGTCCCCGTATGCTTTATGCCCAGAAGTACTTTTCAGCTGTACATTCCATGAAGCAAGAAAAAAGAGCAGGTTCACACTATCAAAAAATGGTACAAGGGACCAGTGGTGTCAGGACCCCCATTAGAAATCATGGGACCCCAATGCGTCTCACCTGACAAGGCCCCAACCTGGCATCAAGTTTGTGCTTCTTCCTTTCCTATGGGGGATTGCTGAAGTCATGTTCCTCTGATGATTCAATCCATCTTATCTCAGAAAAGAACATATAACACAACCATAGTGCTCTTCGTCTGTTAAAATTGATTTATTAAAACTAACTAAAAGTGGCCACTCACAATAAAAACAGTGCACAAAGAAATGCGCTATAAAGCATGTACAAAACAGCGTTCTCAATCTCGGTTACCACTTCAGATGCTGTAACAAGATACCGTCATGCCCAAAATTCCACCCAACGTGTTGCGTCCAATGACTTCTTCAGGGGTGCCTCAACTAGATAGTGTTGTTCTTTTGGGTTTAATGATGCTCAGTGTAATTCAAAGCACTTCTTGTGATCCCAGGGAGTCAAGGACCTAGTCCCCAGGGGCATGTTTTCAGGGAACCCTGGACTCACAGCAAAATGTTGCAGAGAACAGCACCAAATCATTACTTGGCACCACTCTCTGCAGCACTCAGGACGCATCCACCGCAGAGGATAACTGAGAAGGAAAAGAACTGTGACATCATGTGACCAGACCAAAGACATCAGGAGAATGTTTTTATTATGTATTTTATTAAAGAGGGGTTGCTCCAAGGTAGATTGAGAGCAGTAAACCGAGGGAAGGCTGTAGTTAGGCTTTAAAAAAAGCAGGTGGTGTTGAGGAATAAAAAAGATGGGATGGGGGGTCCTCCCATAAGATGTTTGTCCTGAGTCCACCTGTGTATTAAAATTGCCCTGGAATGATTTTTTATTTCTGGATTATAAAGAACCTTGTGACCTCCTATACGTTACACTTGGATTTCAGGTGCTGCGGAGAGGGATGGGACTTGGGCAGTAAAGTGCTACTTGCCCTTTACAAAATGCCTTTTTTTCTCAAAGAATACAAGGCATTCTCGTACTCACCCAAATGCTCTGATACCTTCCCTGATACCGGAACTTCCGGTCAGAGGAAATTTTCCTCTGACCGGCAGTGCCATAGGGGAACATGGAGCTGGCTTCCTGGGAAATCTGGAAGCCGGGTGTTGAATAATGACCCTCCCTGATTGGCTGCGAAGCCGGTTCAATGCTGATTGTCCCTGATTGGCTGGGAAGCCGGTTCAATGCTGATTGGCTGGGAAGCTGGCTTCCTGGCCAATCAGCATCGAGCCGACCGAACAGCCGCCTCCTTGCTGATTGACTGGGAAGCTGTCTCCCCAGTCAATCAGCATTGAGCCGGCCGGTACCCATGTGAGGGGCCTGGGCACCCTGGGGGGCCCCTTACATGGGTATCAGCTGTACCAGGGGCAGCATGGCAAAGGTGACAGGGGAGGGGGTGGAGGAGGCCAGGCCCCAGCAGCAGCAGGTAAGAAGAGTTGGGAGGAGGTACAGGAAAAGGGACCCAGATGACCAGCCCACCTGGGACCCTGCAGAGCCCACCATAGACAGTCTCAGGTGGGCTGGTCATCTTAAAAAAAGCAAAGGACACTGTGACTGGACTTACACTTAGAACCATATTTATAAAGCAGTCAATGTGACTTTCACAAACATTCACTGGTGAATCATCTTTTAAAACACAAGTAGGCAGACTAGCAAGATACTGAACCTTGGCCCAGTGGGAGATTCCTCCATCCACACAGTTTAGCGTAGATAGAGGAATCTGTTGCACTTTTTCCATCTGGCCATAGAAAATCTGCAGATAATCTATGGCCAGTCAGATAGTATATGGCCAGTTTGAGAAACATCAGACATATCAGTCTGTACTATCCTTGCTGTATTGGGTATTTATGTCTGAGTTGCTTTTCTGTAAATTCCTTGGAGGATTGACAGATTCAGACATTAAAAGAGTCAACTACTGGAATGCAAAGAATGGTTTACTTTTACATTTCAATATCTCCTTCTATGTACATGTTCACATCTGTATTCACAGACTGATTGTCTCTAACAAAGCTGTATTGATTTTACAAGCATGAAAACTTTCTAATAAAATTTAAGAAAAAAAAAAAATCAATCAATCAGTACCCTCTTCTCAACAGCAAAACACACAAGATCCTGAACACAAGGTACTTTATCCAGTCTTTGAATGAATATGGGCTGCTTTGGTTGGAAAGGAAACTGGTTTCCCTGTAGAAAAGAAATAAAGTGTATTAAAATGACATTTTGGTTATGAACAATGTTTAGCAGAACATGGTGACAGTGTCTTTTTAATAGTGTGTTTACATTATGGAGTCATTCTTCTTTAACAACTGAATACCAAAACTCACAGCATATGACAACAGCATATGCATACTAACTTACCAATGTATAGCGGTAAATCTGGTGTTAATTGATCAAATGAGATAACAAGTGAATCATTTGGATTTCCACATACTGATGTCAACTCCACAGTTGTAACAGATTTTGTGAAAGTAAAATTAAGTTTATTTCTAAAATAAGAAACCCCAGTAATCTGCAATTTGGTGATTTCATTGGTGAAAACCGGGTCCAAGTCCAGGCTTTGTTTGTTGATTCTAAATAGAACAGAAACACCATAATTAAAAAAAAAACATAAACATTGTTTCCCTTTGCCAATGATTTTATGTTGGTGGGGGTTGTTGGATTTAGGTTTGCTTCATACCATAAAAAACGTGTGTTGTGGTGAGGTGAAAATAAATGATGCATGCAATGGTTTTTTTCACGACAACACACGGTGTTGTAGTACTGCGGATTGTGCTGCAACCCACGCCTGCTAGGAGGTGTGTTGGGGTGCCATTCAAGTGAATGGTAATGCACCAGTGCACCTAGTGTGTGGAGCATTGCGTTGTATGATAGCGTGTGCTAAACACAGTAGGTACCGTACCTTTAGCCCAACACTAAGGTGTGATCCGGCCCTTATACTCCTCAAAGTGCCAGGAAGAGTTATATGATGTGAACTATAACCTTTTAGCAAGCTCCGAAAGGTTTACAACCTGCAGTTAAGCACCTCCAGTCATTTACCACAATTCATGTTTAAGGTCCCCATATTATTACAATAATATTCATTCTGATAGATACTATTTGGGCCCCAGCAGGTTTGGCCTTTGATGCCCTGTGTGAGAAAGCTTTACAATGCCCCTCAGTAACCACACCTCTCAGTAACCACACCCCTCAGTGGCCCTACCCCCTTTTTTCCGATACCCGCACCATTTAAAGCCTCCCATTTTGTTAAGCCCCCAAAAAACAGGATTAAAAAGTATGATAAAAATAAAACTTTTATTCAAAAGGTATTAAACCTGCAAGCACAATATAAGTATTATTATTACATAAAACAACAGTAGGCAAACAAGTGATAAACAGTAAAAGTCAAAGGTTTCAGGATGTCAGTGAATGCATCCAGAAAAGTAAAAACAAAAAACAGAACACAAAGCCAACTCCTGCAGGCTTTAAGCATTTTTCACAAGTTCTGACCATTGCACCTAATGGACCCTCCTTGTTGTTGCCGACACAAAATGCCAGCAATTACGCAAAGTAAGCATCAGCACAGCACCTTTCTATAAAAGGTACCTGCAGGCACATGCCTACTCTGGCTGCTTAGAAATCCAGCCCTAGTCACCAGAGGAATACAAGGAACAGGATGTGTTGTGGGGCAGTGCCCACTCTATACTAGGAAGGGATGGAGAGGGCAGTGAGGATAACTTAAGGGAGATGGAATGTATGTAGATAATAGAATAGAGGTTGTGTGCAATGAGGCAATTGTTTACAATACACTGTGCATTAGCAAATAAAAAAGGTTTAGATCTACTGTAAGATTAAACAAAACTATACAGCAGGGGTAGGCAACCTCGGTACTCCAGCTGTTGTGGAACTACATGTTCCATGGTGCATTGCAAAACTGACAGCCACAGACATGACTCCCAGAGACAGATTCAAGATGGAATTTGTAGTTCCACCACAGAGTGTCGGGGTTGGCTACTCCTCCTATATAATATAAAGGTCAACCCATAAACAATCCAGTAACTTAGGCCTTTGTACTGCAGGGTTGTTGGCAGATCTAATGGGGATTGTAAATCAGATTGTATATTGAATAGTCGGGTTGTCTTCCTAGGCACATCAAATTTCAGCTGCGGGCTGCGATTGACCTTCTTTGATGTGATGCAGCAGGTCCTACTGGAGATCTGTTTGCATTGAAGGTCAAATACAACGTCTTGCATGTGAACACAGGCATCTGACCAGCAATGGAAGATCCTATGTTTGACAGCTTTACCTGATTGTGAAATATGCTTTAAGCTGGCCATACAGCATACAATCTGATTGTACAATCCCTGCACAATTTGTTTGGATTTAACAAAACTGCGTAATATGAGGACAAACCTAAACGTTTCATTGTATTCATATCCAATCAGACAGGTCCTTGTACCTGTACCAGACAGTTTATGGCAGATCAAAGGAGGCTGTACAATAAGATTGTATTTTGTATTGTCACCTTAAAATCTACCATGACTAATGTCGGGGAAACAGTCTGTCTGATGTGACACAAATTGAATAAATTGTTTAGGTCTGTAATTATATTACTTAGTTTTAGTGACTGTAAGGGAGATTGTACAAACAAAGTGTATAGTATATGATCAGCCTGGACAGGATCTCTATGGTGATATGACACAGAATGTTGACATTTCCCCTGTGACCAGTAATAATGAACATGACAATGGAAGGTTGTCATCAATACAATCACTCCACTATTCCTGGTGTTCTATCAAAGTTTGTGACTACGTTGGAATGTGTGACTGGTGACGCGGTCACACATTCCAATGTAATCCCGCCCAGTTTGACAGCGGTGGAATGTTTGACCGCCCATTAGGTCAAGCATTCCAACGCTTTGTCGGCTGTTCCATGGCAGATCAGCTCACTCTGCATGTGCAGGAAAACCGATCTGCATTAGCTCATCTGCCTGGAACAGCTGATCGGTCCTCAAGTGTCACTTCTATCGGACTTTGTGAGTGTTGCAGGGGAAGGGGTTGATTCACAAACAGTAACTGCAGCAGTGTTAAAATGAGCGAGCACCGCAGATATATTTTTATAATTTTTTATATATCTGCGGTGCTCACTGATTACATTGGAATGTGTGACCGTGTCACCAGTCACACATTCCAACGTAGTCACCTCAATTAGTGTCCTCCCTGCAACCCCCCTCAACTCATGTACTGTCCCCCATGCACCCCCCTCACCTCATGTACTGTCCACCCTGCAACCCCAGACATCTCAACTCTCCTGGATGTCCTGGGAGTCTCCCACTTTAAGATAGAGGCTCCCTGATGCCCGGGAGAAAATAAACTCTGTGGAAGGTCCATGTGTTTATTGGTAAAATACTGCTTACCTTATCAACTTTTCACAACTGATTTGCATGTGTGTGTTCATGCAGCCAAAATTTCCCCTAACCAGGCAGGTATGTGTAGAGCACTAACTTTTATACTCAGTGTGCCTGGTCCTCACTCACTCACACACACAGCTAAGAGTCGGCCCGTACACATCCATGCGGCGTGCATGGCCATATCGGGCCGTTTCCGGGAAGGACAGGTGCTACCCGTGATTGTACGCAGCAGCCTGCTCTTCCCTATGGGAGTATGCAGCCGTACGCTCACCCGAACTGCACATCCGTGTGGGTGCGGGTCTCGGCGCTCAGAAGCAGACAGGATCCATCCCACACAAGTACGGACACCCGTACGGATCTGTATGGGCCAACACATAGGTGTGTGAATGAGGCCTTAAGGAACACAGGAAGTCTTAAACCGTCAGAACGACCAAAAGCAGTCCAGCTAAGGGAGAGCAACATAGATAACAAATGCTGACAGGCCCAGAAAAACAACAGGAAGCTCTGGAAAGCCTGATGGACCTTACATCTGAAGGCATCAGAAGAGGTCACAACATCCACCTAGAACTTAGATAGCACTTAGGCAGAACTTTGATACCATGAACACAAATCAGGTGGTTGCCTTGCAAACCTGGGAAACACATGCTTGATGCTGAATAAATCCAAGAAGTACTGGCAGATATAGTATAGTGTATCTTGAAAGCAAAGGGTGGAACCCGATCCTTGAGACCATAAGCTTGCAGGATGGTCTGTGTGAGTCACCCAGAGATGGTGAAACAAGAAGCCGGTGCACCCTTACAGGATGACTAAAGGACAATCGGTCTTTCTGAAAAAAACAATGGCTTCTCATAGCCCAAACCACATTCAGAAAATGGAGGGAATTTTCCCTTTGGTAAACTTCTCCCGGAGAGAAGGATGGAGGAACAATGTCCTGGTTAGGGTAGAAGACAGGCAGGCATTTCTGGGCCTTAGTCCCGCCTTGTTCCTATGCAAACCAAAAAGATGATTGCTACAAGGAAAAACACCTTGTAAGTGAGATTAGAGGAATTTCTCTAATGGGTTTAAATGCTGATGCACAGAGGGAACCAGATTCAGATCCCTCGGAGTCACAGGAGAGTTACCAGGAGAAGCTACATTGAAGACTCCATTTACAAAGGTCTTAATCAAGGAATAGGAGGCCAACAGTCTTTTGAAAAGAATTGAAAGCATGCACCTGAACCCTGATAGTGCCGACAGCTAAACCCTAGACCAGGTCCAGCTGCAAGAAGGAAAGGATTTTTCCTAACCGAGAAACTCTTGGGATGGAAGCCCCGAGACCCACCTCAAGTGAAGTGTGCCTTCCACATCCAATGAAAGAACTTGCAGTATGTAACCTTCCTACCTTTCAGCTCTAAAGAAAATTTCCCTTTTAAAATAGAAAAGAAATTGAGGACACAGAGTCCTCAATTACTTTTTCAGCAGCCTCAGCACTCAATGAATGGGAAGCACTCAGTACAGAGGCTCCTCCCATTCATATTTACTATCAGCAGTTTCTGAATGGGGAGGAGCCTCTGAATGCTTCTCCCCATTGAGGAAATCTTGAATGAACAGGCTGTGATGTAAATCACAGCCTGTTCATTCATAACTGGGGACACATAGTACTATGTGTCCCCAGTTATTTACAAACACTGGAGTGATCAGACGATCGCTCCAGTGTTTGTCCTTCACACATGGAGGATCGGTAAATATCAATGATATTTACCGATCCCCGCTCTGCCACGCATAGAGCCGCTGTCATCCTGAAACTGACAGGATGACAGTGGCTCCGATCTCCTCCCCGCTCGGCCATCCTGACAGCTGTGGGCGCGGCTTCTCTCCTCCTCACTGCTCGGCCATCCTGACAGCAGGCAGCGCTCCCTCCTGCTCCCTCCTGAACAGCGGGGGGGCAGACGAGGGAGCACTGTCATGTCCGATGGCCAGCAGTGAGGAGGAGAGAAGCCGCCCCGAGGACGAGCTGTGTCGGCCGCCTGGCGCCTTTGTTGCCATGGCGCCCTGGCAGCTCGCACACCCCTAAGGCCGGCCCTGGCCCAGTGACCCCAGTATCTCTAGTTACCCCAGTGCCCCTTTGTCTCTATTGACCCTGTGTCTCCTGTGACTGCGGAATCTCCAGTGACCCCTCTCCTCCTCTGCAATCTAGTGACTCCT